CTTAGGCAGGAGGATTGTAACTCAGGCTAAATAGCACAAACAAATGAATGCACACCCACAGGAAAAAAAAAAAATCAAAAAAAAAATTTTTTTTTAGACAAAACAATCAAATCTCGAAAATCGTTAAAAAATTTCTTTAGGTAATAAAGTCACTAAGTCATATGTTTTTAGTATGAATGTGCTTCTCGGAAGAGAATATGTATGGTAATAAAAAGCCTTCAAAGCTTTCTTTGTACAAACCTTATGTCTTCCACGAAAGACATTTGCAGTAGCTCCTTGGCCTAAAATGTCAGATAAAAGCCACAGATGATTGGAAGTGCTCTGCATTTCGGCTGGGTCAAGCAATCCTCTTGTTATACTAGGAGAAAATAAAAGAGTTAAATGTGTGTTTTAAGGGATTAATACAGAATACAGTTAAGAAATAAATGTTAGTTAACTTTTAGTCTCAACTGAGATCATCCACTATTAATTACTAAACTGAAATGTATGAAGAGCCCAATATAAAAATCTAAGTTTCTACCAATATTGAAGGCTAAAATGCTGTGTAGGCTCCAAAACCAAAAATTAACCAATGAAATATATTCAATTTTTAAAAAAGAATTATTAATTTATTTAATTCATTATCATTATTATTATTTTAGTTTGACCAGGACGAGACAGAGACAGAGCTTTAGAGAAAGGGAAAGTGAGAAAGCAAGCCGTGAGGTCTGGGGCTTGAACTATGGTCAGTCATGTGGGAATCCAGTGCCAACCACCACACCATCTGCCAGCCCCCAATTTTTTTTAAGAGAGATTTTTGCTATAGGTCACTGTGCACTCCCAGGAGAGACAGAGTGAATGTGAAATCACTCCCCCAGGGGGTATGGCCGTGCTGCAATCCCTTCTCCTCTCTCCTCCTCTCAGGATCTTAAGCATGCACACACATGCACCGGGCGTGAGTTTTAAGTCACCAGGTCTGGGGTTTGAACTGCAGTTGATTATATGGGAGTTCAGCGACATGACCATTATGCCATCTGATGGTCCTGAAATATATTAAATTTTATTCCCTTATCTCAGGGCTAAAAGAAACAGATATTTCATTTGTAATTTTATCTTTGTCAGTGAGGGCCATTTTAGCAACTTACCTCCTTCAAACCCTTTGAAAGATAAACCAATGATAAATTCTATTTTAAAGTGTTTTAAGGAGCCAGCAGCTGGCATGGTGGTTAAGAGCTCTCGACTCCCACAATTCAAATCCCAGACCTAGCAGCTTACTTTCTCACTTTCTCTCCTCTCTCTCTCACCCTGTCCTTCTCCAGTGAAATTAAAATAAATAAATTTTTTAAAAAGTGTTTTAAAATAAAGAAAGGTAATATTGTAACAGAAATACAGAAGAATCTACTTTGTTTCCTTCAAGTGCAGGACAACACTAATGAAAAACACTGTTGTAGTTAACATTTCCATAGTCTAAAATTTTATCTACACGAGCCTGACATTCGTAATAGAAAGGTGTAAACGTGATTATTCCTGAAAGGTTGCAAACTCTTTTAAATTTAAGGATGCTTTCTCTATCCTCTAAGTATATAAATATACATATTCTAAGTATATATTACCATGTCAAAAAATACTCATCAGCCCTAACCTTGTCCTTTAAAGCTATGGAGTTATAAAGATACTTAAAATATCTGAGATCCATGCTGGAATTAAAAAAAAAAGACATCGCATGGGACCAGCAGTTGGCACAATGGCCATGTTGCTGGACTTCCATGTAGTCGACCGTGGTTTGAGTCCCACACCTGGTGGCTTAAACTCATGCCGACGTGTGTGCATACATGTCCAAGATCCTGAGAGGAGAATGGAAGAGAAGGGATTGCAGCATGGCCATCCCCCCTGGGGGGGGGTGACTTCTCACTTTCTGTCTCTCTGTCTCTGTGTTTCTGGAGAGTGCACGTGCCTCTAGCAAAAACCTTCCCCCCCCTAAAAAAAATTGCAGAAATACTAGACCCATCGAGCTTCCTTAAACACACGTAACATCAGGTCCTGGCCGGCTAAGGTGGCACAGAGGTCATGCAGTGCCCCTGAAGGAAAAGCCACTTAGGAAGGGGCTGGCTCTGATGGCTTCCCTGTTCATGCTCTTCATGCCCACAATCCTGGATAGCTTGGGCCTGTGGGTCATGTTGCAAAGGGGATGTGCCCCTCTCTCTCCCATACAGAAACATCATAAACTGAAAAACAAAAATGAACAAACAAAAAAGAGGCTGCCCCACAGCCTAGTGGTTAAGGGAGCTGGATCCCACAGGGCCATCTGCAGATTGAATCCTACCCCAACCTCTTGAAAAGCACACTGGGCGCCTTTGTGTACATGCCCAAATTCCCAACAAGATGGAGACATGGAGGAGAAATTGCAGAGTGACCACGCCCCACAGCGATGTGTTTCCTCTCTGGTTAGGCACAAACTCTCCAAAAATTAAAGCAAACAAACATAGACCTTAATATCCCTTCCTAGGAGTTAGTACAAAAAACAGTACATTGCACCACATATACCACGGTTTATTAATGGCTGTCAATATTCCAAGGTTTGGAATATATGGACAGGCAAGAGGTCTGACTTCCACCAATATCTGGTATACTAGGATTTATTTATGTAACTTTACATCCACCTAATTCAAGTAAGGAATTTGGTATACAGCAATTTACTGGCAATAAATAATAAGATTTCCTTTTCACAAATATGGAATACACATATGCCAGTTACTGCATTCCATTCAAGAGGTACTACACTGCTCAATATCCTGCCCAAAGCCCTTCTGAAGTAACAGATCATTGCTGTTTCAGACAGCTGTACATGCTGAACAGGATCCTCAGTTATCTGTCAGTACCGAGGGGATAATACAAAACATATGCACTAAGGTATCTGCTCTCTCCACGCAGATATAAACACACAGTTCCACAACAGTGATCACAGTCATGATCTCCACGTCTTCTGAAACGATTTTCCAATAACCCCACCACAATATTGTCACAAAACATGACTCAGCACATCCACGAGGCGCTTGCTGTATGAACCGCCCACATGTGTGACAAGAGTCTAAGCAGACGCTCAACAAGTACGTTACTGGTGATGCTAAGTCTACTTCCTTATACCGTCTAAAACGAAAGTTACCGTCTGTCCAGGCTTGGACACGGCCTCTGGACAAAGTTCCAGGAGTTCCAAACTCCGTCACTATGGGAATCACTAATTAAACAAGAGTAGGCATTCCGAGTGAAACAGGTCCGTGTTTGATTTATACATCTGACAACTACTGGGCCACCTAGGAAATACACCTGGGCAATGGATTAGAACAGAAATCGCTAAGCCAGGTCGACGAGCAGCAAGGAAACGTTTGGACGTTTGCATTTTCTCCGGGTATATGAAAAACAACTTCTGATTCGAGATTCCGCCGTGAGTCGACCGCTGCTGTTAACATCACTGAAACCCTAACGAAACGTCTCTTTTTCAGTCGTCCGAAAATCAATCCATTTAAAAACTGGCGACCGTGTGCCGCCCAGGAGGAGCGGTACAAAGTGGCGAGCTGAACTCCGAGGAGCGGTACCCTCCTTCCCGGCGCCGGGGCCCAGACCCGCAGCCGCCCGTCCCCTGGGTGCCCAGCGCCGCGGACCGCGCAGGGCCTGGGCTGCAGGGCAGCGGGCCGCCGAGGGACGCAGCGTGGACGTCTGGGACAGGCCCGCACGCCCACCGCCCGGGCTCGGCCGC